GGGGTCGGCTATATGAGTCCATCTTCACCATTCATTTCGATCATGTGTTATAAGCTCATTTAAGTTAAATATCTTTATATCTTTTTTTATTATTTTGTTCAATTAATTTAGTTCTACCCTTGGTTCTAGTACCATTAAGAGAAATTCTCTCACTTTTTCGAACTAGTGCCTTTATCGGTCTTTGTTGAACGTGACCAAACCATCTTAATCTATTTTCTCTTAACTTATCCTCAATTGGAGCTATTCCTACTATTTCTTTAATACAATCATTTTGTATTCTATCATTTCTAGTTGTTCCACACATCCACCTTAGCATTCTCATTTCCGCTACACTAATATTGTCACCATGTTGTTTTCTAGTTGCCCAATATTCTGTCTCATACAACATTGCTGTCCTTATAACTGTTCGGTAAAACTTACCTTTTAATTTTATTGGTATCCTTCTATCATATAATATGTCAGAGGCTTTCCTCCACTTAAGTCAACCGGCGTTAATTATATTAGTTACATCATCTTCAATCTCTCCATCATTTTTAATGATCGATTCTAGATATCTAAATTGTCTACTCTTTGATATTTTTTTATTTTCAATCTTAAATTTTCACTATGTCTATTTCTTCTATTACTAAAATTGCATTGCATATATTCAGTCTTAATTCTACTTATTTTAAGAAAGTCTAGTGGAAATGAGGATGGAGAAGTGTTGTTTAAGCCGTCGAGTTTAGTTAACAATGTGCAGCTATTATCTCAAGACTCAATAGCCCATCAGTTGGACAAATAGGGCAGGATGCTAATCTCTCTCAAATTTTAATAAACTCAAAAGATGTTGATCTTATAGTAGAGGTTACGGGTATTCCAATTAAGCCTTTTAGGGATTCTTTGTTTCATGATTCTAGAATGGTGACATCTAACAAGTCTATGAGAACAGTCTCTTTCAATTTGCTTAATTTGACTTATGAGGATGGTGAGATTTTTTCCAGTTCAGATGATGATCCTAATTATGGTATTGAAGATTCTTTGGAAAAAGCTTCCATTGATTATGGCCCATGTTATGATTCTTTGCACAAGCCAATGTTTGTTACCAAGAAAATGATGGAGGCAGTTCATCAACGAGTCCACAGTCAAGTGGAGTTTAATCCATAAATGTCTAGGGATGAGATTCATCAAGCATTGAAATCAAATGGCATTTTTCAAAAGAAGACTCTGCCAAAAAGCCGGTTGTTCATGAAAACACAAGAGGTTTTTTTTTCCTAATGGAGAAGACGATGTTTTAACATCTGCATTTGATTATGAATCTTTTATGGCTACATCCAAAGGGTTGCTGAGAAGACTCAATACTGCGGAGGAAAAAAAAACAACAAGATGAGAGTCTAGCTACTTTGGCATTGGCATTGCATAATGTTCCAGTTAGGGAAGAATCTTCGAGGATGGCAAGGTCCAAATCCAAATCCATGCTAGCGTTCAAAATTCCAAAGTAGAATAATAGATATGGATTTAGGCATTAATGGAGCTGATCAAGCATGACTCTAAACAGAGATACTGGGTTCTTTTGAGGAAGATTATTTCCTTGCTCAGCAGATTAAGTTTTCAAACTTTAAAGAGCTGATTCAGTTTTGGATTTGTTGCCTTTCTATACTTGAAGTTTCCTGAGGACTCCTTCGGTTTTATACTTCTACAACTGGACTTCTTTTATCAGCGGGACTCTTTGCTAGGTATTTTAGTTGATTTCCTAAATCAGCTAAAGTAGAGTAATTAAGGCAGGACTTTAAGGGATAAAAAGCTAAGATGGGATGGTGGAGACAAGGTATCAGTTAACAGACCAAAATTCTAGCGAGGGACTCTATCTTGGATGTGGAAACTCTATGAATTTCCCATTTTTAGTGGACGAGGGACTCTATCTTGGATATGGGAAGCAATTTTAAATTGCAACTCTCATATCATTGCTTCATTTTTTATTTTTCATTTTTTATTTTTTTATTTTTATTTCTTGTTTGCTTCTTAATAAATTTTGTTATTTTATGTAAAGGGGCTAGGTTTATTTCCTCCCCTCATTGCCATTAAAAATATATATATATATATATATATTTTAAACCCTTTTGACCTGAGTGTCTTTCTCCAAAATTTTAGTTTATTGTTAATCCCCATTTGAGTTTCATCTGTTAATACAATATCATCTAAAAATAGTATTTCATCCTAAATGTGTCTAGTAAGTTCATCCATAATTAGGGTGAATAGGTATGGACTTAGGGCCAATCCTTGGTGTAATCCTACCGTGATTGAGAATTCTTTACTTTCTCTCATAGAAGACCAAATTATAGTCATAGTCTCATCATACATACCTTTTATCACCTCAATATACCTATTCGCCACCGCTTTTCTCTCAAGCACCCTCCATATTATATTTTTAGATACTTTATCATACGTATTTTCTAGATTTATAAATACCATATATAAATTTTTCTTCTTTTCTTTATACTTTTCTATGAGGGTCCTCAATAAATATATAGCCTCCACAGTTGATCAATTCGGTATAAACCCAAATTGATTTTTCGACACTGTAGTCTCAACTCTTAAGCGACGTTCAATAACCTTTTTCCCATAATTTCATTGTATGAATCATCAATTTTATCCCTCTATAATTATTAAAATTTTGAATATCTCATTTATTTTTATAGATAGGTACTAAAATACTCTTTCTCCATTTATCTGTCATTTTCCTAGAAACAATAATTCTATTGAATAATATCTTTAGCTACGACACCCCTTCATTCTCCAACACTTCCTAACGGCAAATGTAATCTCATCCGGTCCTAAAGGCTTGCCTAATTTCATTTTCTTCAATGCAAACTTTACCTCCAAATTCTTTAATCTACGAAAAAATATTTTATGAATCCTACCATTTTCTATCTCTTCTAAGTTTGATAAGTGATTTTCATTTAATAGTTTTTCAAAATAATATTTTCACTGATCATTTATTACCTCTTTTTTAACTAAAACCTTTGAGTCATTGCTCTTAATGCACTTAATTTGGTTAAAGTCTCTTATTTTTCTTTCTCTAATTTTAGCTAGTTTGTAAATGCTTTGCAGGCTTTTAACTTGAAATTTCTAAATATCTTTTTAACCTTCTTGTTAGCTAATTTATAACTTTGGAAGTTCTCGCTATTTTCTATTATTTTGACATCTCTTAAAGAATTTTTTATTTACTCTAACTACATCTTGTACACCGTCATTTCACCACCAAGTTTCTTTTCCCACAAGCCCTCTACTATTTGACTCTCCAAGAGCCCCTTTTGAAATTTCCCTAATGTTTTATGTCATCTCACTCCACATAATGGTAGTCTCTTCCTCTAGGTTCCATAATGCATCCTTAAGTATTCTACTCCTAAATATGACTAGTTTCTCATCTTTTGGATTGCACCATCTCGTTCTTGTTTTTCTTGTGCTTCTCCTCACGCTATGTTGCCCCATTAATATATAAATGTAAGATTGTTAGCGTATATTGAGATGTTAAGCTCTCTCATGGAATAACCTTACAGTCCTTACATGCTAATCGATCCATTCTTCTTCCGCAAAAATATTATTAGATGTTCTTCTCGCTTTCTAAACAAGATGTTTGTCACTACAATGACATATGATCATTGCAAACTCTAAAATACTTTCTTTGGCTTCATTTCGATCACTATATCCATAATCACCATTAACCCTCTTATACTGTGTTCTATCTTTTCCTAGATGTCCATTAAAATCTCCCCCCTATGATTATCTTTTCCCTTATAGGTATATATTAAACTAATTCATTTATTTGCTCATAAAATTAATTTTAATATGTTCCTCTAGTCTTACTTAAAGTGCATAAGCGCTAATCACATTAATTATATTATCTTTAATATTACATTTTTGCCTACAACTATTTCTACTTCATTTTTTTATAATAAATCTTCGGGAGAATTACACCTAGACCCCCTGAGATTTGTCACTTAATCATTCAGACCCTATATTTGAAATATTACACATAGACCCCTTGAGATTCATACGCGCGCAACACTTAGACCTTGCTGTAAATATATCCATTAATAAATGATACTTAGACTTTCTTAAAGTTTATAGGTATATAATACTTAGACCCTTTAAGTTTAAAATATTATAGTTAGACAAAAAATACTTCAATCAAAGATAAAATATTAAATATTTTAAATTTTACAATTAAAATTCATGCTCTATTTATTTTTTATTGAAATAAAATCAAAAATAAAAATTTAAATTTTTTTAAAAAAATATAGTATACAATTATATTGTCTATTAGAATTTAACTTGGTCGTTTAAACGACCAAATTAAAATACCAAACGATCCCAATTAAAACTAAAAGATATTATGTTCATTACAATTTGATCCCTTATTTAATTTTTTAGTTTTATTTTAATAGATATTATAATTATATACTAATTAAGTTTTTTTTTTTTAAAATAAATTTTTATTTTTGATTTTATTTCAATAAATGATATAAAAGAACATTAATTTTGGATGAAAAATTTATGTTCTATTATGAATGACTTAGACTCTTTATTTAATTTTTTAGTTTTATTCCAATAGATAGTATAATTGTATATTAATTACAATTTTTAAGAAAAAATTGAATTTTTATTTTTAATTTTTTTCAATAACTAATACAATAGAATAAAAATTTAATTGTAAAATTTAAAATATTTGATATTCTATCTTTAATTGGATTATTTTTGGTCTAAGTATAATATTTTAAACTTAAGAAATCTAAGTATTATATATTTATAAAATTCAAAGGAGTTTAAGTATAATTTATTAATAGATATACTTACAGCAGGATCTAAGTGTTATAAGTATATAAAATTTAAAGGGTTTGTGTGTAAAATTTTAAATATTAGGGGTTTAAGTGATTAAATAACAAATTTCAAGGGTCTGGACGTAATTCTCCCTAAATCTTAAATCCCGTATTCTCTCTCTTAAACCTTAAAAACCCTAAACATTTGAGCTCTAACGCACTAATGGCAGATCTCAACGACCCGAACTCCTGTTTCAAGAAAGGAGCCGAAGTCGAAATCAGCAGCAACGACGACGGCTTCCGTGGTGCTTGGTACCCGGGAACAGTAATTCGTCCAACAAGATCGGAAAACAAGGTCTTGGTGGAGTACAAAACCCTAACGGCAGATGAGGCGGGGAAGAAACCCTTGAGAGAAACCCTAGATTTGGTGCAATTGAGGCCGCCACCGCCCCGGGAGCGTAAACGGAATTTTAAGTTTAGTGAAGAGGTGGACGCTCATCACAATGATGGGTGGTGGGAGGGAGTGGTCACTGAAGTGCTTGACAATGGAAGGTATTCGGTGTTTTTCAGGGGGACGAGGGAGCAGATTGAGTTTGGGGAGGAGCAGCTGAGGCTGCACAGGGAGTGGGTTAATGGGAAATGGAGTCCGCCATTGGAAGAAAGTGAGGTATGCAAATTTAGTATGTTCGTGTCAATTTTACGAGTGTAAATATTTTGGTCTATTTATCTATTTATTTGACTATTTTGAATCAGAATGCCTCATAATTTAGTCTGAAGTGAATGCTGGGTTGGTAGACATATCTCTAAGCTTTCATTTTAATTGATGCTAGTGGACTAATATCGTGTGTGGCTTTTTTTCCCAACTATTTTTTTCTGATTTTTATTTGCTGAAGTGAACGTGTTTGGTGTATGTGTTTTTGCATACAGAAAGTAAAACAAACAGTGGAAATGAATATAAATCGCCAAACTTAAAACTACCTGAATCAAATGGGGCTCGAGAAAATGGATTTATTTTGATTAACATAAATCATGGATGGTTTTTGGGTTTCTTGTATTTGTTTTCCTTTTATTTGATAGAAAGGGGATTATACGATTTGAGCTTGTGCTACTATGGTTATTAGGGCATTTAGTTAGGAAAACCGAACTGCCGAGCTGGTTTCGGATGAACATATCCTACTCATTCTTGTTTAGGGAAACCCAAAGGTTAGCCTCGTGGCCCTTATTAAAAAGGTTGCTTGGATTGGGTTATTGATGAGTTATTAAGCACGATACTTCGTCAAGGTCGACGTATCCATACCAGATATAGTATCGGATGCGATGTTCGTCGGATATTCTAGGATAAGTATCATACATATGCGATAATTAATAAAATATGTGAATATTTTGCAGATATTTCTACACATTCTATATTATTTCCTTTCGAGTTTATATACAATACAAACTATCAACAAAATTCGATTTGACTTTGAAGACACAAGTGTTTTTTAAGTATTATTTACTATTATATGGCAAAAGAGTATAAAAGAATGAGTTAGTTACACAATAACTTTAGAAACAAATACTTTAAGCAAAACCAACTAGTTAAATTTTGGTTATAATTTCTTTAATTGGTCACGTTCACTTTATGGATATATCATAATAATATGATATTACACATTTTTCTTGGTAAAAATTACAATTTTTTTTTGACCTTTTTTGAAGAATTACTAAAATTTATAATGTTTAAGTTGTTAGATAATAGTAAAATATAAAATATATTTTATTATAGATGTATCTCGGATGTACTTGTATCCTTTTATTTTTGAGTTTTGTCGTATTGCGTATCGTATCGTATCCGTATTCATATTTGTGCTTCCTAGTTGATGAGTTATCTTTTCTCAGATGGAAAAAATGATCACAAGGCAATCATGAAGCGATTTGATATATAAAAATTGATAAGAAAAGATTTTTGTTAGAGGTTGATGAGGAGCATTGTGGAAAGGTATTCAAAGTCCTTGAGAGAAGCAAATATTCAACATTTCAATTTTTTTGTGGATTTTTGTGGCTTGGCATGGTTGAGGAACAAATAGATGCTGCAAACAAGAAGGATGTTCATTTCTTCTTTAGACAATTCCTAAGCAATAATTAAGAAATTTGGGTGATTCGAACACTGATGCTAAGGGTTTGTTTCTCACAAGTGACACTATATAATACAAAACCTTTAACATAGGAGATTCATTTTGCCAAAGGCATGGATGGTAATGAATGGAAATTACTGTCACTTTTGATGAGTGTATTGTTGAAGGAAGAGGGGGGGTTGATTAAAGGTAGGTGGTGGATAAATATCGTGGAAGGGGATGGAGTTGGATTGAGGGATAAAAATAGGATTGCAGGAATCGGGTATGATTTAGTTGTCACTTTTGATTAAATGTGGATTCAACAGTATCTTTTAATAGACAATGTTTTTGATTTTCAGAAGTAAATTCAATCCTTGTTCAAAAAAGGTCAATTCAACCTAATGCGAAAAAATGTGAGAAGTCAGAATTGTTCTGAAGCCATTCTAGGTTGACAGAGACGTGTTCCTTTGTGAAAATGCTGCTAAGGCTAATGAGATTTGTAAGCATGAGAAGGGTATTATAAAAGTATCATTGCTGGTGAGGTTGAAGAGATTAACTGCTAAGTCATGTGGGTAGATAATACTTACCGTCACCATTGAAGAATTATCATTCCATTTTTGTTCTAAAGAGGTGGTGAGAAAGATGTGGAGCATTTTAAACGAGTTTTTGGGACGTATATGGAGACTTGTAGAAAATCCAATTTGTTTTAAGCAAAAATAATGTTGGGAAGGTCTTTTAATGCCTTTAATTTGATTTCTTTGAATGTAGAATTCTAAGGTAAAGTTTTTTGATCAATATTAAAATGATTTTGATGAATTGATAGATGAGAGGGGGCTAGTGGAATGGTATACATTGTGATAAGAAAAGGAAGGCATTTGTCATATTTTGTGTCCCAATGATGTGGGTTACAAAACATGGGCTGAACAAAGATGGGTTGACTTTGAAATATGGGCTACTAATTAATGATGGAATTAATGGTACTGATTAATGATGGAATTAAGGGTGTGATTAATGTTTTCTTCTCAAAAAGAGCGTAGCAAATAGAGATTTAAGAATCACTAAATTAAATTTACTTTTAAAAATAAGGTTTTGGAAGATAAATTTTGAGTTCAATATGGTTACTGTGACATTTAATTAGATAAGGAATATTTGGTCTTGCAGGGGCCTAGATTATATTGAGTGGAGGTAGGAGGTAGAGGTGGGGGCAAAAAGTAACAATCCAATTTTTTTTTATAGTTGGAGCGTCTTAAGGGCTCCACATTTTATACATATATACTTGGATACAAGCAAATAAAATCATATTTAAAAAATTAGATTCCATTGACAAATATGTGACAAACTATTTAATTTTTACATGTGTTATTCATAAAGTCTCGAAATGAAAACCACATGATATTCATCAAATAAGGAAATAGTAAGATCTCAGATCTTATGACATATGTTGATGACATAACACTTACAAGTGATGATGTAGAGGAAGTGTCCAAACGGGAAGTTCACCTTGCTAAAAAATTTAAGATCAAGGATTTGGGGCGTTTACGTTATTTCTTAGGTATTGACGTGACCAAATCAGATAAAAATATTTTTATCTCACAGAGGAAGTATATCCTTGATCTTCTGAAGGAAATTGACATACAAGGACTTGGAGGTTGCAGACTTACCTAGACAAATCATAGATTGAGAATTAAAGAAGGTGATCAAGTTGATAGAGAAAGAAATTATAGGGTTGCTAGGAGACTCATATGCCTTTCTCACACTTGCCCAGACATAGCATATGTAGTGAGTGTTGTTAGTCAATTCATGCCTTCTCTTCGAATCCCTCATTAAGAGGTTGTTCATCGTATACTGAGGTATCTCAAATTATTTTCACGTGAATATTATTCTCAAAATAAGATCATTTGAGATTAGAATATTTCAAAAATGCAGATTTGTACAATCTCAATTAATGATAGGAAGTCCACTAAAGGTTCATGTACCTTTGTAGGAGGAAATCTAGTTACTTAGCGGAGTAAGAAGCAAGTAGTGGTAGCTAGATCTAGTGCGGAGGTAGAATTCATGGCTATGATTCATGGTATTTATGAGCTTATATGGCTTAAAACCTTAATGGAAGATTTGGATGTCTCTAATGATGAACCTATGTGCATGTATTGTGATAATAAGGCTACCATAAATATTAGTCATAACCCAGTTTAGTATGACATAACAAAACATATTGATATATCAATACACTTCATTAACGAGAAGTTGAATGTTGGGTTGATCTGTATGTCCTTTGTGACATCTAAGGAACAATTAGCCAATGTGTTTACTAAGAAGCTTAGTAGCAGAAATTTTCATTTAGATGTATGCAAGTTGGACATGAAAGATATCTATATTCCAACTTGAGGGAGAGTGTAGAATGTCAACTTATTTTAATTAAGGGTACTATTATAATTTGTAGTTTATTGTGAATTAATATAAATATGGGGATGAGAAGAGAGATTAGTTAACTCTAATTCTCATTAACCCTAATTGGAATTATTTCTCATCCTTTTTCTCTTCTATTTCTTCTTTTGTATCTTCTCCACTCTAAATCCTAAATATAATACTTTGGGATTTCACTGTTGTTCATCGCCATTGGAAATTATGTTGGAGATTTTGTGGAAATTGATTCCATTACACAAAAATGTATTGGTATGAAGTGTGCAAGAATTTTGATTAGAGTTGTAGTACATTCTATTCCAACAACGATCATAGGGAACGCAATGAATGCTAGTTTTATATGCCCAGTATGGCTTGAGATGAAGCCGTTCATGATGCCAATCAACAATTTCGAGAAGTTGGAAAATCAATTTGTTTCTTCAGTCATACAAAATTTAGTTTTTAGTAGATTGAGAACTCAAGGTCGTCAGCCATAGATTATGAGAGCCAAAGGAGGTCAACCATGCGGATTGGAAGAAAGTAGATATGGGAATATAAAGAGGGAAATGTGGAAAGATTTTGATAATAGAAGGAAAGATTTGGGGAGAAAAGTTTGGGAGATTTCCAAAATTAAAAGGGAGTTCATATTTCAAAAGTATGTTTTTAAAATCATTCAGCAGTATGGGCTGGAAATTAAAAATGGGCCTTGACTTTTTAAAGCCATTGCCTTACATATTGTTGTCTTGTTACTATTTCGGGCACATTCACCTTGGCGGTCTTGTCTGCCTCTGATTTTGGGCACCTCCGTAGTCGGGTCTCTATAGAACGTCCTTTAAAATAGTTCTTACGGTCATGCTTTTCACATAGGATTGGTTCATACCAGGTGGCCTGGTTGCCAACTCAAATAGGTCATTGAATTCCATTCCTCCAAATTTCTTGTAGAGCTCGAAGCCTAGCCCATTATGGGAGATTCTTAAATACCCCTCTTCAGGCAGCACCAGTCTACTCCTATGCCTTGCCTTCTTAGCTCAATTGATGAATTGCTACGCCAATTTTTTCCTCATTTGGTACTACCTTGCCAAAGTCTCCTTTCGCAACCTCCGGCTCTTCTAACTATTGCCAATTCAAAACTGAGTTATGCGGCAAATATGTACCAGCAAAACATGATCCCTGCAAAAGAGTTTGCAAACAACCTCAACTTTAGGAAACTATTGGTGCCAGCCTCTATGCATTGTACAGTAAAGTGTCCAATTTGCTCAATGGTTGATTGACCATCTTCACCTAAAAAGGTGGTCAATGCAAGTACCTTGTAGCCTTGGGGATATTCATGATCTTTATTCTAAGAATCACGGGCACGAACACGGGACATGAATACGACATGACATGAATGTGCGGACATGGTCTTTTTCTAAAAAGTAGGACATATACATGTAAGGGATACGTGAAATAAAATATATTTTTATATTTTATATAACCAATACTTAATTTTTTATATGACCAGATATCACGAAATTTGGCCCAAATACACATACATGTAGACAAAAATTTCGGCATATAGCCCAATTTTAATTTCATTAATCCCATTGGACCAAACAAGGGACCTAAAAAATAGTTTGAAGCCTGTTGGGCTTGGCCCACCCACTAAAAAGGTGCCAATTGTAAGACTTTATCGCCTTCCAACCACATTATAATCATTACCAAGTTGGATAAGTCAGATAAAGGATAAGTATAATCCGGCGGAGAAAAATCAGCAAATGATTTGGTAAAGAAAAATAAGAAGATGATTAGAAAAACGGATGGTTGTTTCCTTTAGGTAAGACAAGCTTCTTGGCTCTTGGTAAAGACGGACTCATATCTCTTTTTCTTAGGAAGTCGCTCCCCCCCTCTCTCTCTCAAATTTCTGTCGCCATCTGTATGAATGTAGGAGTCTCCTGGGCAACTCCTAAATCATGGGCTATGGCCTTTATTCATCTTCTTCGCCTTCCTCATATGTTGTGCTATTTTTTTTGGTTTCCTATGCACTATTGGATCCTACAAGCACTTAACGACTAAGTGAGTAATTTCTAAACTGGTATAAAATTTGCGTATTCGGACACGTCCCTAACAAGTCAGGGATATGGCCAAAATTTAGGAAAAGTAGAAAAAATTTTGGACACTCTTTTTTGCATGTCCGACATGTGTATGAGAATGTGTCCAGATGTGTCTGGATCGTGTCTGGACGTGTTTGTGTCCATGTCTTATACGTGTTGGACATCGGTATGTTAGCCCAAAACACGTGTCTGTGCTTCAAAGTATCTATTCACCCACTCATGTAGGGTTTTCGGTATGTTGGTCTTTGGCACTCGCCAAACCGTTGGGTCTACAAGTTCCTGGATAATTTTATCTAACTATTCCTCGTTCATGAACAGTTCATTTAGTGCTAGAGTTGTTACAGATGTTGCCCTTTGTTGCCCCCCGAACTTAGTAATGGGTGGTATCTCGCCTCAGAAGAGGGGGTTATGATGCCAACAATGCCCATTTTTGCTTTGTTAGGCTCATGGTGGTGGCAAATATGGAGGTGGTGGTGCCTGTTGTAGCACTTCCACTGGCGTTACCATTTGGGGCGGTGGCTGAGCGCTTGCTGCTCCTTGCGGGTCGAGTAGCTCACAAAGCCGCTCTAGAGTAATCCTAGTACATCCAGACTCTTTCCCAAATTAGATCTCTAGCCATTTACAAAGCTAGAAATTTGTAGAGAGACCTTCTAGGAGTAGGCTTTAATGAAGCCTTAGGTTCCGAATCTAATTCCCTGATGCAATCCCCTCAAACAAGGGGATGCCTTCATAAGGGCTCAAGTCATTGGAGCCCACTTCTTTGAGCAATTACTTGGTGTATTTTCGAACGCAACTGCTTTGCCATGTTTACATCCTGGTGCCATAGTGATGTTAATGGTCCCACCAGCCATGCCAAAATTATGCTTGGCTGAAAATCTGAAAAATGCGGGTGTGCCAGAACTCTCGCTAGTTTGCAATTTTCAAACACAAGGACCTTCCTAATTTGGACTGATGTGAGATCTTAATCGTGACTGTGCAGACGATTGAGAAAGATAGTAAGGTTTACTTTAAGGTCCTTTTCTATGCCTTGTAACTAAGAACACAAACTTCCACCTATTGGCAAAACTAGTAACCAATAATGGACAAAGACAAGAATAAAACGAACTCTGAGCTCTTTATTGAAATAATGCCAGGATTACAATCAAAGAATTTAATTTTGTTTCGAAATGTTTCCGTTTACATGAAAATCGAAACGAATCATTGATTGAAAATCAAAATTCCTATGTTCAACGTGTTTCGGTAAGTTTTTAGGTGTTTCGGCATGTTTCGATTTATGTTTCAGAATGTTTCGGTATATTTTGACAAATGTTTTAAATTTTTCTTTGTTTTCATCTTGTTTCCGAAATATTACCAAAATGATTATGTTTCCAAGCTCATCGAAACTATTCATCGAAATGAAATTTTGATCTTTGATACAACTAAGAAAAGGAATGAGATCCAAACAACTAGGAGAAACGATTGCAATGATAAAATCAGAACTGCGTAGCTGCTTTGTGTGATGATGATGATGCTGGGATCCTTTCTCCATCAGATGCTCATTCTATTTATAGGATCAATCTTCGATCACCTTGACTGTCTTTATTTCGCCATGCTGCCAATGTATAATAGAGTCAGGTACCTCAACAACTCAATTAATGGCCCACTCTACATAACCACCTAGAACTGTTCCTTCCAATATTTTAGTTAGGATCTTCTCCTATTATCTTGTAGCTGATCACCAACATACTCGGCATGCTTTGCTCACCCACGTAACCTTCTTTGCTCAAGACTGACTGACCTCTTTGTTGACCCGTATCTTGCCATGGTCGTTATCTCATATTTTCCAGTTACAGTGTAGACAATAATGCATGTATTACATGCAGTTTAAGCTATTTCTTTGCCATTCATGGCCTTAGTCTTGTGCTATTTTTAGTTTATAGAACATGATGGTTTTGGTGCCTAAAGAAAGATTGTGCAAGGGAAGCTAATGTTGCTGTCTTACCTGATCGAAAAAAACATTGCTGCCTTAGAAGTTGCCTTATGTTAACCGAAGCAATAATTTATTGGGTTTTCATATAGGCAGTTTCAAATTCCTTGCATGGGTTGATAAAGAAGGGACAACCAGGAAACTGGCCAAGAGTGAATTGATAAATTGAGAACAGATCATCAGTTTTTTTCAGTCTCTTAACGAGTCTAAAGCCTCTTGAACATTTACGACCATCACATATGATATATGGCTGAGTTTTTTTTTCAAGATCTAATGCCACTATGCTACCAGTGGAGGGAAAATCAGAGCAACTTAATGTTTTATCAGTGTGGATGATGATAGCACCATCAAAAAACCTCAATGGTAGTTTCAGTTCTTCTGAGATTGATATTGAGTTATGTATTGCGTCATGATATTGAAGTATTGAACAATTCAGAATGTTTGGGGTTTGATAAAGAATTGGTTATTGATATCAGGTGCTAATATTTTTCCAAGGAAAAAAAGCAAGTAATGATTTTGATATGCAACTCTTGTGCAGAAATTCATAATTTTCTGCTTAGAAAAGCTAGACCCTTTTTGCTGGCATGTTTAGAGTTGCAAAATTGAATTCATGATTTGAGAACTCAAGTGATAAAAATCCTCCAGACAAGTGTTGATAACAAATGGTCTGTTTAGGAAAAGTGATTTTGGAGGTTCTACCCAGTTATAATAAAGATCAACTTATCCCGATTGCTTAACAGATTTGTTTGGTAAGAAGACCTTCTAATACACATCCAACCATTCAACTTATCCAATGCCTGGATTAGTCAGTTCCTTGTTTCTATTACTTTTGTCTTACATTTTCTTCTGTGTTTGGTATTTAGCTTCTTCAATTCACCAAAGTAAGTTTTCTTCTTTAGTTGTGAGTAGTATTTTCAGACATGCATAGTAGCCTTTGACTGTGACCTTGATCCATTGTTCGCAGACCATAGTTATGAGCAAAACCTCATAGTCAAAAGTTACAAGCAAGTTGAGTATAGTTTGCATATTTAAAAAATAGAAATTTCTGGAATTGATTCTCGAAAAGAATTCAAAGATGGTGTAAAATCAATTAATTAAATGTCATTCCAGTGGCCATTTGCCAGCACTGTAGGTGTTTTAGGTGAATGAAGGCTTGTGATGGAAACAAATTTCTGAGTTTGTTTTACATTTATTGCAAGCTTTAAATCTCATGAATGCCCAGTGCATGTATATGAAACTGTCCTCCACAACATGTGACTTGACACAGTTCCATAAATGTAATGATTAAGACAAATCACCAATCTTGTCACTTTTTCTCTTGCTTTGATGAGAGTTGAGGGGTATGGTTATAACCTTTAAGAAGAACCCAAAGAGGTACCATTGGAGAATTGGATTGTTGAAATAGTAGGAAACTAATGTCTTTTCAATTAAAACAATTTGAATACAATACTCTAGATGTCATATAAATTGAATAGTTTTCCTAAATATGTGCCATTCTATTTTCTTTCTAGTCATCTTTTGGGTCTCTCTCTCTCTCTCTCTCTATCTCTCTCTCGTTTGTTTGGGGGGTGGGGGTTGTTTCCTGGTCTTGATGTAAAGTTTTAGAACAGATGCTAATATATCAAAATTGGAGTGCTGCAGCAGGTGTTATTGTCAACTCAAGGGAAGCCCATGGAGGAGATGGTAGAGGAGAAGTTTAGAATAGGGAACCTAGTCGAAGTTAGCAGTGATGAAGATGGCTTTGAAGGTGCTTGGTTTGCTGCAACTGTTATCAAACAATTAAGTAATGACAAATTCCTGATCGAGTACAAAAGCCTGAGGAATGAGGATGATACAGATTTCTTGAAAGAAGAGGTTGATAACTTGCACATACGGCCGTATCCAGCCGACACTGGAGTGGTTGACCATTTCATATTGCTTGAAGAAGTTGATGCTCTGTATAATGATGGGTGGTGGGTGGGTGTGATTTCCAAAGTTCTTTGTGGCCAAAGGTATGTTGTCTACTTCAGAGGGACCGATGACAAAATGGAGTTCAGACACTCTGATTTGAGGCCACATCAGGATTGGATTGATGGAAAATGGGTCATGGCTTCCCGGGTATGACATCTACTTGTTCAACACCTCAACTCAACAAAGTCTTGCCCAACTTCTGGTTCAGCTATTTTACTATATCCAAGGACGTATAAGTTTATCACATTCTTTTTTTAAAATCTCATTCAAAGTTAATTTTGCTATACTTATATCTTTCATTACGATCGATAAGTAGTACACCACTCTTCTTCATTGGTGTTTCGATTCTTTTTGAGTTTATTTCCTAGTGGCATTACTTTTACTTTTTACAAACATTCTCATTCCAAATCTATCACTTCTGGTTTTACTGCCCATTCGTCATGAGATAATCATTTGTGCTATACTTAATTTTTTGCACATTCTTTTGTACTTATCCAACATTCTGAACCACAAACACTATTCGTCTAGGTATTGTCCTGTAGAACTTACTTCTTAGCTTGAGAGGTGTATGTCAGTCACATTTTTGTTAACAATATCTTTGATGGTGACTATTGAAGTAAGACATTGTTTATACACTGATGAAATCAGTAGATCACAAGTAGTAACTTTCTTGTGGGGTGGTCGTAAACTGATTTTAGGATAAGAGGTCACTGCCCAGTTTGGCCCAATAGATTGTGAAGGCTAAGAGGGGTGATTGTGCATGGAGTTAACCTTTGATATTTTTTGCACAAAGTGGCAGTTTTCATATTGCAGCTCATGTCACGATTATTAGCCAACAATTTCTCAATGCACCGAACAAAGGCCCTTAATTGAGGGCAAAATACATTTACATAGTTAAAAAATCTCACGTTTCTGTCCTCTTGAAAAACCAGATAGAAGATTCAGCTAACTTTTTCTGTGTAAGATTTGGACAATCATATTGTATTTGTAATATAACTATGGGATGCCATGTGACTCCATATGGTTGTGGGTGCGAAATTACTGTCATAGTTTGGCTCCCAACCTTCTCTTCTTTCTGAATAGTTTTTTATGATGACCCCCAACTTTGCAAAAAGTTTTTTGTTTATCTTGATATTTCACTTTTCGATTTGTCTTTGTAACTGAAGTTTCTACTCATATGTGTCTTAACTGGATGGTTTTGCCAGGCTTTGAAGTTGTGATTGCAAGGACGGTGCAACTCCCAGAGCCTCTGAACGAGTTCTTGTGGTATTACTTCTAATGGTATATATTTTTCTGTCCCGACTTTAATATTATATTGTACTCCATACTGAAGCCTTGGCATTAAGGTTGGCTGTCTAACATGGATGCTTGGTCGATGAGTGATGTGTATATAACTTGTATCTGGCAGTGATTTGGTCCTTCTGACCATACAATTAGGCATTCTTTCAGATTGCTTTAGATTTTCAAGTTATTTCGAATCAAGTAAGCAACATTGAAATGAAACCATTCTGCCGTGCTAGTTCTATCGACTAGTTATTAGATTGGAAGTTGGTCGTGTCATGTCAAAGTGGTGTCATTTTTATTGTTCTACTTATGCCTGGCTCATGTAATATTCGTCAATTGTTGGGTTCGTGTCATGTAATGTCATGTTGGGTAGAACTTGCATATAGTCAAGTTCATGTCGACCTATTTATTGTTTGTTACACCTCGGTTATAATCAAAACACATTAAGTTTGTTTAAATTCACATCCGTTAACGTCATGTCAATCTTTTGTTAGCCGAGCGAGTTAAAATTTGTCGGGCCTCACTAATTATAACATTGACGATACAATTTACCATATAAGCAATTGGCTTCATTTCAATTTTCTAAGGTTACAAATCAGGTCGTGGGTTGACCCATGGGTGACAGGTTGGGTCTTGATCATGGATAGGGTTGTATTAGTGTGTTAATGTCTGTATTTTGGTATATTAGTGTATGTGTATTTTTTGATGTATTAATGTATGTGTATTTTTTGATGCATTAGTGTGTATTTTTTAGTATATTTATTTGATTTTATAATTTATGTTATTTAATATAAAGATAAATATTTAATCCAATAGGTATTTATTTGTAATCCATCTTAACTTGCTTAATTAAAATGAATTATATTATTCAACTCATTTAAAATTCGTATTAATTAAAATAGGTATTCAACCCATTTATTTATGAACAGATTATTGGGTAATAGTTTAAGATTGCCACTTCTACATATAATCTTATAATACAAAAATATTTATATTACTAATAAAAATACTTTAAGATGAATTTTTTTTAATTTCCTATATTTTTTTATTTAGATTTCTATATCTAATCATACCCTAATCTCGTATCTTTTTTGATTTAAATGATGACAATTTAATATATCAATGATGTATATTATTTTACTAGTGATAATTCGTGCCTGAAGACATTGTGTAATTAAAAAAAATTAATCTTGGACACCAAAAAAACAAAACACTGAACATTGGCACACATTAAACTCAACCAAATCACTAAATACCTAAACTACATCTTTAATACACCCACACTTTATAGACATGCTCAACAAAATATTATCTATATAATTTCTTTCTTTCTTTATTGATTCACCCCCCACAAACAAAATGAACTCAAGGTCATAATAAAGCCAAACAACAAACTCAAGCATAAACATAAACCACAAAATTGAACACCACGCTAAATTGCTATACACCGTGAAATATACAAGAAAATTGACATTTGACAACAAAATCACAGGTCCATTTTGGTATATAGCTATCAAGAAGTTGGTGGAAGTAATAGTAGTTAGTTGATTTTAATGTAGTGATGAACCCGTGCCTGAATATTTTTTCTAATGGGTGATTTTTTTGTGTTAGCGATGGACTAGTGCCTGATAACACTGCCTAACAAAAAAAAAATCACCCATTAGAAAAAAGAAAACACGCTCAACATAATAAAAAATCAAATCAATCACCATCTATCATGTTATGCTTCTAGAAATTTAGAAACTCTAAACAAACACTTTCCTAAAACAAAACATCTAATTTCCAAAAAATTCAACCCAAAATCATGTGGAACATTATATAATGCACTAAAATTTTAAAAATATTTTTATTTTCACCTGACCACAAACCAAGGAATTCAACATTTGAACACTTTTGCTGCAAAAAAACACATTTGAACACTTTGAGCATCAATTAATTCAATCCAAAAAAAAAACATCAATTAATGCATTAATTTTTTAAACTCCAAAGAACACTGCTATTGAGACATAAGCATTAATTTTTTAAACTCCAAAGAACACTGCTATTGAGACATAATTTATTGACTTAATTTGTTGACCTAATTTATTATAGACTTTGGATTGATTGTGAGCCTCATCAAACATTAGAACTTGGTGTTGATCTAATGATTTTACTAAAGTCATATCATTATGTTAGCAAATTATGTGAGATTTTTAAGTTCAAGTAACATTACTCACTAAAAAAATATAAAACACCAACCAATAACGTGGGAGCCAAAAATGGCTTATGCGACTTCACTGGTATCGTGAAACCCAGTGAGTAGTGGCCTCCACCAAGAGTTCCTTCCCCAGTTAAAAACACGGAAAGTCCTAAAATCCTGCAAGATTGAAGCAAAAAGGAAATACCTCGCGTCATTTGTGGCGAAAATACCTGTTACCATAATTCCTCAACTCCACCACAGATTCTGCCATAAAGTTTTTAAACTCCATTGTGAAACCAAATAGTATTAAAAATATATGAAAGACAAATTAAAGAATATAAGACAAAATTAGCTCTCAAACAACATTGCATCATTGTTCAACCCATAAAGTATGGAAAAACTATCAAAATTCAATCCCAAAGAAAAGGGAGAACGGTTTTGATAAAGACATCATAGGCAATATGAAAACACCTAAAAATTAGTAGTTTGGGCGTGGCAGTGTTGATAGGGTAGGAAAGGAGATTAAGCATTTACCATTTTAGATTGCCAAAAAAGGCTACTCATTGTAAATTTCTACCGCCCACCAAGATACAACATTTTTTTATTCTCCAATCACCTTGATGCATCTTAATTTCTCTATAAAAAAAAAGCACGAAAAAAAAAGTAATCATAAACACGTACCCAAAAAAAATGCGATCTTGAACTAATGAAATCTAACTAACCAAAATTTAAAAATTTTCAAGAACCAAAAATAAAGACGAAGATGAGATCTTTCTAGTGAAAGTGAACCAAAATAGGTACCTTAAGTGATATTAACACCAAAATGTCTAGTAGACATAGAAAAACCACCACGTAGACTATAAATTTGATCCTAAAATATTCAACCAAAAATTTTTATTAGCAAATATGGTTGACTGATTCATAATGGAAGCATAGTTAATAAACTCACCAAGTGGAAAACATAATTGCAAGACAACAACTTGCAAATAAAATGTCTCTTCCAATAATACAGAAAAACCCACACACGAAAGCACTGCATAATACAAACAAAGCTCCACAAAACAAAGATTTTCCTATATCTGGTATATAAAGCCCCCTTTACTGTTACAAATGTACATCCACTCTCACCCAAAAGATAGAGGATAATAGGGGGAAAAAAAAGAACAAATCAAAGAACAATTATGCGATCCAATAGTGTGAATAACTTAGACCTATGAGATGGGATGGAGAGTCGAAGAGAGAATGAAAAGTGTTTGTGGCATAGAAGGCCTCTTCACCATAACCCAAATTGACAGCTGCATAGATTGGGTTCAAGGTTTTGATTTTATGCCACCAAGCAGTGACATAAAATAAAAAAACTCTCCCTTGAACTTGGTCTTCAGATAGAGAAAGAGAGAAATCTAAGAGAGGAGGAGATGTGAATCCATCCATATTTTTGTGAAGCATTGGTGACGAAGGAGATTGTAGAAGGCCATACTAAATTTTTCAAAACATCCTACCAATTTTATCAATCATATAAATCTTGACGTCGCTCAAACGATAATGCCAATTGTAAGAACAAGTCCCGACCCATTCAACAAACAGTAATGCTACACTGACCAAATTTTAAAATTAAATTTAGAACTCAAATAACATGGCAGCTGACTTGAATTTTTTTATTCGGTCTCATGTCATTTGGGTCCTAATAAAGGCTTCAAATAATATACTGTCATGTCATTTGAGCTCCAAATTTGATCCCAATATTTACTCGGCATAGCATTACTGTTCAACAAATGTAGCTTGAGCATAATTATGCACATGAATTTATGACAGTCATCCTGACACCAATACAAAAAGACAAGTAGTAACGACAATGCCAATTGTAACCCATTCGACAAATGTAGCTCGAACATAATTATGTGCATCCACAATTTATGAAAAACCACAATCAATCAATCACATCGGCACACAAAAAAATACGAAAATGAAAACAACTAGATATTTTCATGAACTGCACTTCCATAATTGATCTTCCATGAATTCAGATTGGAAAGGTAAACAAGAATTCAGATTCCATTACTCTCTTAAGAATGATGCACAACACAGATGAAAGCTAAACGAAACTTATAAAGAAAAACAAACAAACAAAAACAAAAAACATAAAGTAAAAAGCCCTATGACATTCAGTGAGACAATTCATCAAACACCTCTACCTCGACCCACGTCTCGCCAACCTTGGCGAAGTCCTAGTCCCGCCCTTCTCACTACTCCCCTTACCTTTCAGATTTCCCTTCAGCTTCTTACCATTAGACTTCAATTCAGTGTTTTGAGAAACTAACACTTGATAATAAATTTAAAAAAAAAACTCAGTGTGTGTGTGTGTGAGTGGATGGGTATTTTTGGTGGGGGTGGGTTGTGCAAAGAGGGTAGGGGTGGGGGTTCGGACATGTGCGTGTAAGAGATACCTGGGAGGTGGTGTTGCTAGGGCGATGGTGAAGCAAAGGTGGGAGGTGGTGTCGCTGGGGCGATGTTGAAGCAGAGGGGGTGTGTGTGTGTGTGGATGGGTGGCGGTGTTGCTGGGGCGATGGTGAAGTAGAGGTGGGGGTGGCGGTTGTCCGTGAGAGAGAGAGAGAGAGAGACTTGGGAGGTGGGTGGGTGGCGGTGTCACTGGAGTGATTGTGGCTTAACACAGAGAGAAAGAGAGAGAGAAGGAGCGAAGTTTATTTGAGACATCGAAGCCGTCCTATTTTATAATATAGATGGATATAAATGACAAAGTTCCTGGACACTTTTATTTAAGTCTTTTTCTCTACACGATGGAAGTGTAATTGTAATTATCATTTAACGTAATAAAAATATGATAAATAGTATATGCTTACAAATCAAAGTTATGAAAGTTAAAAAAATTTGGTGCAAATGAAGGGACAAAAAAAATTATAAAATTCAAATGTTTAATGAATTACAAAGGGTATATGTGCCAAGTATAAATTTATCCACCCTCAATCCATAATAGCAACCCAGTTATGTAACTTACAAGTAGCTTAATTCAACAACAAAATCTTCATTTTAAATTTCAAATACCAAAAATAAAAAATTAGAAAACATTGCAATGGTGTTAAAATCAATTAAAACATTATCGATTTGATTGTTTCAATTGAAATTTCAAGAACCAATTAAAACATGACTCATACTTAAAGATTATAAAGTTTATAATGCTCAAATAAAAATTATATTTTAACTTAGGCCATGTGCAATACACGTGTACACTAACTAATATTCTGAAAAGTGAGATGAATATTTAATAATCTTTAAAAGCAGCTAGATAGATAGATTCTTTTGACTTCCAAATTTGGCCTATCCTAAACATTTATCATGGAAGGACTATTAGGTTACTCTATGTGTAATAGAAATTGTTTCAGACTAATAAAACATATTAAATTTTCAAGAGATATGTGGTGGAATTCAAAAGGAGAAAAGTATTTTTATTAAGGGTCCATTTATTTAGCAATAGTGTAAGAAAATGCGGGAAATGAGAAACTTGGCCATTTTTTTTTTTGGGAATTTGGTTAGTAGGAAAGTGAAAAAAGATGATGATAGAAACTTTCCCACGTTAGGAAATGGAAAAAGACTGATAAAAACTTTCCCGAATTAGATAAAATTTTCCACAAGCGACCAACTTTTTTTTTGGTAAGAAAAATAAGCTTTCGTTTGATTAGGTGGAAAATAATGATGGAAAGTAAAAATGATAGAAAATGATGCACAAAATTGGATTTATGCATAATCAACAGTCAAGTATACAATGCAAATTAATTAATGAAGCAATCAATGAAAAGAGATGGAGATAGGGTCAACACAGGTAACACATAGATGTATAGTAGCTTGGTCAAGGTGACCTACTCCATTTTGAAAGCGACAACGGTGGTGAAGGACTTTATTGATAAAATAGTAGGTGAGAGAGAGAGAGTGCACAAGTAAGCTCTAGGCGTAGAAAGATAATTGTGTAGGATATGTAGAGAGATGTAAATGTGTCCCTTATGTATAGAGGACTTATAATTTATAGGCACAGAGTCTTAATTGAGGCCGTGACATGAAGGGATAGGTGACTAGTCATTCGGAGTTGATAACTATAGTTAAAGATACATATAGTTAAAGATAGTCTTGATATTTGAGAATGATTATCCCGATGATTACTTCTCACATGTGCTGACCTCTTGTGTCCCTTGAATTTTGGACTAAGCTAAGACCACGAGCTGTGCTTAATTTGCCTTTTAGCTGATTTGGACTTAACTCATTAATTGTGTATGACCTAATTAGATCTGAGCTCATCATTAACCCTCTATGCCCTAAGCCTCCGTTTGTGACAAAGGGGTTTGAGGGCATGAGTGAGTTCCAAAAGTTTCATATTCCCCATGGTAGTCCATTCAGTTTCTCATTTCCATGCTCTACAAAATTTCTTTCCTTATTTGGTAACACTGTACCCACCGTTACGTTAACCATCAATCCAGTGTTAGGGTCTTTGCTATACTTGGACCCCCTTTTCATCTAGTGCACCAACCCTTAGGATCCTAAAGAGTATTCTCATCTTTTACCAAAACATTTCTTTTTGAACTAGGGCTTAGAAACACCCTTCTCCTCCTCACTCCATAAACCATTGAGAGAGAAAGGCTTGGGAAGATGATGGAGAAAAGGCCCCCAAGGCCAGGAGAAAAACCGGGGGATCCATGATCGATGCTATTAGCTCCTCCGTATTCAAGTAGATCGGTGGGCAAGGAGGCGGTGGAGCTAGCTCTGCCAACGCTGGGAGGTTGGGCAACATCCATGGAGTAGCTAACAGCGGCGCGATTGAAGATGTCATGAGAGGTATAGAAGGAGGCGACGCCTACGATGTGATTTGTAGCACCACAACTAATCAAGGCGGCGTCTAAGGGTGTTCAAATTTTTGACTAGCCGCAATTTCTGATCCTACCCTACCCTACTGAATGGCTACCTGCAAAAATTGAGTAGGAATGCGGAATAGCCATCCATTTTAGCATTCCTACCCTACCCTACCCGCATTAATTAATATATATATATATATATATAAACTAAAAAAATCCAACCCCAATCGTCTACTGAGTCCCGAGAGTGCCTCATAGCTCAGTCCATTCCTCCTCCTAATCCTCATTCATTCCTGATTCCAGGTACTCTCTCTCTCTCTCTCTCTCTGTGCGATTTGGTGTGGTTTGGCCTGGTCTGATCGCACATTCCTCTACTGTGGTCTGGTCTGTTCTAATAGCGATCTGGTGTACTCTCTATCTCTCTCTCTACGCGACCTTGCTTCCTCATGAATTGTCTGGTCTAACCTTAGTGATCTGAGCTGTAAGTTGGATCCCAAGTCCTAACAACGTCAAAGGTGATATTTCTCGTCTAGGTGTCAAAAATCATCTAGTCTGTGTTCAAAATCATTTTCTACTGTAAATTTTGAACCCATAACAGTGTTCTTTCTTCTTAAAGGTGATAGTATATACTTGATGTGTATTTGAAGGTTTTCTGAACTTGTTATAATTTGTAATGGAAAATATTGTCACTTTCTGGATCTAGAAATGTTTAAGGTTTCATTTACAGACTGGATCTACAAATGTTTTCTGATCTAGAAATCATCTGGTCTGGATCTAGAAATGTTTAATGTTTTCTGAAAGGTTTCATTAAATGTTTTCTGAATTTAAGGATCTAGAAATGTTTTCTGAACTTGTTAGAAATGTTTTAGTTTCTTGCCAAAGTGCTTCCCTATCTATGCCATGAATGAGATTCCACATTTTCACATGGCAAATAGATCTTGATTTTAGAATTATTGTTGGCCTAAAATAACTCTAGGACCATGCTCATGCTACTCTAAATGCTCATGTTTACAAAGTAAAACACCTTTGAAAAGCCAAAAAAGTGGTTTATGCCAAAAAAGTAGTTTATGACATGGTAATGTTTGATTTGTTTGCAATTTTGGGATAATAAGGGCTGCAAGTTAGGCTGAATGGTTTTGGTTGCAAGTTTTTGAAATTTTACTTGAAAATAGCGCATGTGCCTTAGTTTTGTTTGGTTGTTTTTGTGAGACTATGTGCCTTGATTGCTTCTTGTAATTTCTCTATTTTATAAATAAATAAAATTTTGTTATTGTTTTCAAAAAAAATTAAAAAGCTACAAAAGTGTTTACCCGACTTCCTACCCAACTAATCGGGTAGGAAGTCGGGTAGGAATACCACACTTGATCGGGTAGGGTAGGACAAAAAAAAATTCTTCCACAAAGTATCGAGTAGGAAGACGGAAAAATATATTTCCTATCCGTAGGGTAGGATGAACATCCCTAGCAGTGTCCATGGCACAATTGGCGACGCCTTAAGGGCTAGAAGCATAGGAGGTGGAGTTGGCGAGTTTGAGGCAACGACACTCGCTGTGGGCGGCGCTTCCAATCACGCAGGCTTTGGTAATGGCTACGCAATCCACAATGACGAAGCCATTGAGGTAGTACAAGTGGAGGGTGACGCCCAAAGAAGAAAGGCCAATGCTTGGGGTGGCGCCTATAAAAAGTTGGAGCATCTGGGTGGCTGAAAAACCCGAAAAAAATTGATTTTTTTATGAAAAAGGAAAAAATAGTAATTTACCATTACAGTGTGGGTTGAAAACCCTTATTTCTCTAGAGCTCGGATGATAAAATAGACCTTACCACTGGATTTTTCTCGCGAAATCTAGTTACCTAGACAAATTTCATTGAATTTCGAGATAGTTGAATTTTTTACATTTTACGAGGCGATCAGGTCTCGGGTGACCCAAAAACGAAATTTTTAATAAAATTTTGAAAGTTAAAAAATAATTTAAATAAAGTTCATATAAAATATTTTGAGCTTAAACCGATACGAAATTTAATCGTTTTGGGACGAAAACGGACTCGGGAAAAGGGGGGGCGTGTGGCGCGACGTGCACAAAGCATTAAGGGTTATAAATATCAACAAAAATCTGATTTTTTTTGGGAGAATACTCTGCTGATTCTAGTGTGTAAACGTGTGAGGAAGGATAAATGGAAAGGAGAGAAAAAAGTGAGATTTCAAAGCTTCTCGCTACGATCTACGAAGCTCCGTCACTCGAATCAATTTAAGCCAAGAATCAAAATCAATCTCCTCGACAAGGGATACGCTTACGTACCAAAAAGAGTGAATTTCACCGAAGTTTTCGAGACGAAATTTTGGAAAAATCAAGGTTTGGGCTTGGGGTGTATTCTTGGAGCTTACCAACTTTCTTTTACGCTTCAAGAGGTAGGGTTTTCATCCTAATTAGGTTTCTGTCCAACCTAGGATGAATATATGAAATGGGTGGGCTGTTTTGTATATTTTAACACTTGCCTATTATAGTTGGTGTAATAGAAATGAGTAGGCTCAATTCTAGTGTGAATTAGTAATTAGAAATGAGTAGGCTCAATTCTAGTGTGAATTAGTAATTAGAAATTGCTAGTTTGTGATTTCTTTGAAGTTTTGATAATTGGGTATGTGAAAATCATTTTTCTGATTTTTTTTTAGCTATGTGGTAAATTTGGACATTTTATGTGATTACATAATTTTGTGCCTTGAAGGTGTTTGATAAGATGCCTATGTGAAATAAAGTGTGTTAATTGCATAAGATTATGTGATATTCTGCTTGGATGATGTGGTAAAAAGAAATCATATGCTTATGATATGAATTACAATTGAAAATGTAAATGTTGATATGTGCTTATGATATTGGCATTGGGGTGAATTATGAAAATTATTTGCTTAAGAAGTAATTATCCATGACATATGTTGAAATGTGATAGAAATAATAATTCATATGACATTCATTACATATGAATGTGATATTGATGTTGCAATTGCTCATTACATTACATATGTACGAAGACATCACATTCATAGGCATGAGACATGAGTGTGGGTGTATGTGCTTGTTGTTAGGTCAAACACTATCCTTGGTGGTTGACAAGTGGACTCGGTATAATTGGACCAAGGTTCAACAGAGTCGCATGGGTTGCATGAAAAAAATTGTGTTGGGTATAACAAGAAGGGCTAGATACTTCTTCGGGTGAAAAACCCGGCTACTTGGTTCATATACTCTCCTGTGGTGAAATTCCGAAAAAGTATAATGGCGTACGGAACCAGCGGTGTGATTCCAAAATTCGATACCTAACAAAGACACATGATTTTTTTTCATACAAAAATATCATCAGATGCATAACATCAATGACGAATTTATTACACATTGGCATTGCATTGTGTTGTGGGAGCCGGTGAGAGCTCGGGTTAAAGTGCATGAGTGAGTCTCATCTCATTTCATGACATGACATGGTAAAATTCCAACATTGAATTGCATATTCTTGTTTGGGATGGTTGTTGTTTGTTAAATGATGCATGTGACATTTCATATGCATCTAGGTTGCATGTGACGCCTTCCCATTGTTTCCTTGTTATTTCGAAGTCCCCTTTTCCTCTTTTTGTTTTTACCTTGGCTTTGATTTTTTTATCACATTCCACCCTTCACAACTTTGGTAAAGCTCTAGAAAAGTGGAAGAATTTCACTCCTCTAAGGGAAGAAAGAAGCTCAAGCAATGGGAGTGAAAGAAACTAACAATGAAAGTAAAAGAAAGCTAGTTATTTTCGAAGGGTTCCCACCGCAACCAAAAAATGATCTATCTCCCTCTATACAAGTAAAATGCAAGCCTAAGTCTAAGATTAATTCTATAACTAGCTAAGATATGTTGGTCTAATCTAAGCTTCCCCTCCCTTTTGAAGCTCCCACAATGCGAGTATTTATAGGCAAAGAGGAGGGGACAAGGGAGTGTGGAGGAATAGTACAATGCGTTCAAAGTCATGTGTAAGTCCCAATGTCCGGAGAGAAACTCAACCACTCTACAGCCTGTCTGGGGACAATGTTCGAATGTTTTCTGGCGTTCGACCGTGTCTCCTGTCTTTGCTTGATGGGCATTTGAACGCCAGATGTAGTTTGAACCTTCTACTCAAGTAGCCTCTGTTCCTCTGTGTGAGCTACTTCCATACACCTTAAACCACTGTCCTTGCACTCATTAGTTTGGTCCTCAATAGTCTAAGACCACATTCAAACGTGGATTAGCGTTCGAACGTAGTACTCAAGTACTTCAATGTTTTCCTTCTTAGCTGCAACACGCCATGTCTCAGTATTTCAGTAGTATGGTCTTCAAATAATTTAAGGGAATGTTCGAACATGAGTTGACGTTCAAACGTTCTTGCTTTGTTCTAACATTCTCCAATTTTGTCCCAGGGCATGCTGGTGTTGCATGAAAATTTAATATTCATTGCCTTTGGACCTTTGTACAATTTATATCCTGAAATTTCATCATTTAAAATCCATCAAAGTATAATTAGTCTGAAAAAAGGCATAGTAATATGCTAATTTTTACTACTAATCAACCTATATGTCGGATCTTGGGCTACTTGTCGCTTACTCTGGGGAGACTAATTTCCAATGGTTGGAGGGTGATTCTGACATTCTTCTCATTATGGCAATTGGTCCATGGTGCTGACGTTCCGCCCCCTTTTGAGGAGTTCTTGGCTTCATACGCGCTTCTAGACAATCCCACTCCTCATCAAGGGTGGTACTGCTCTACCTCAAGGCCGGACAACTAGAAATCTAGATTTTTTTTTTGTTGGAGATGAGTGGACCGTTGAGGAAGATTGTGATTTAGTGCCTTCGAGGTGAGACACTACTCTGAGTACCAAGCCAGGTAAGGGTTTTACCTTTGCTTTTATGTTAACTGTCATGTCCCTATATTTACTGCATGTTTAGTTCTTTTGTAGCTCCACCCACGTTATCTACAGAGCAGGAGAGTAGGCTTCAGGTCATGCTGATCATCATTTCAAAGTGTTTACGACCCTAATGTCTGTAGTGGGTCACCCCAAAGTCTCTCCTAGCAAAACGAGGAAAGGTATTTGATCTTCCAATAACCTTTGGTGATTGTTATACTATAGGTTCTTCGTCTTATAGCAATTCTGCATGTCCCACAGTTGATAGAGCAATAATGGAGGTTCTTTATGCTTCTAGGGTATCATCTTCCCCTCCTTCTAAGAGGGCAAGCCTGATGCCCCTAGCACTTCTCAATCGAGGATTGATGGTCAGGTTGCTTCCTGGGAGACGGGATCCAGTGGTGCCCCCACTCCTTCCCTGGCTACGAATCCTTCACATTCCAAAGCTAGCCTTAGTACCGTTGTAGGAGTTGAGACTCCAATGTGGTCTTCCTTCTGGACTGGAGTTCCACGTTGTTGTCCTACTTCTAGTAGTGGCTCGGTATCCATGCTGCAAGAGGTGAATCTAGCCAAGGAATGGCTCTGGATTTTTTGACCATTGCGGATATCAGAAAGGTTGGCCTCGAGGCCTAGAGGGCATTATCAATACCGCGATGGAGGGGCTTGCCATGTATGCCTTTTACTCAACTTTGATTTTGTACCAGCCTCATTTCTCTCATGTCCTGCGTTTTTGAGTGCTTGTAGGTGGCTGCCACTTTTACTTGCCTTTTTTCAAGGACGATCAAACTTGGAGAGACATTCAAGGATCTGACAAAAGAGAGGCAGACATGAGAGGCTGCTGAGAAGTAATTGAGCTCGAAAGGCATGCACGAGAGGTTGCCGAGGAGTAATTGAGGCTCGAGAGGCAGACACGAGAAGCTGCCGAGGAGCACTTGAGGCTAGGCCTCAAAAGAGCTGCACCTCTTGAGGCCAAGCTTTTGGTGTCCAACGAGAGGGCCACGAAGCTAGAGACTGATAAGGAGACTGCCTGCGCGAGAGCAGAGTTACGAGTATCCCACGAAAGGGCCACAAGAGTTGAGGCTGAACTACGTATAGCTCGGGAAAGGGCTGCTGTGGTAGAGACTGACCTGCAAGCAGCTCATGAGAGAGCCACTAGGATAGAGGTTCACTCCATTGAGATGAAGAGGATAAGGGAGGTTGTTGAGAGGGTCGTTACAGGCGCTTTCATTGATGGTTATGAGGAGCTCAGGGGAAAGGTCTCAGTAGCTTTTCCTGTCATTAACCTTTTTGGCTTTGTCCCTTATGAGGCACCAGAGACTAATGATGACAGGGAGAGCTTTCATGATGTGGCTTAGGGAGCAATGACTGATGTCGGGAGTATGACGACTTTTATATTTTGTCTCTCTTTTCGTTGTCAAATCATGTTCAAACTTTTGTGAGCTGTTTACAAGCTTTATGGAATGAAAGAAAGACAATTATAGACACAATAATCTTTGCAAAATAATATTATTTCTTAGTTAAAATAATAGATAATAAAATAAATCAACTGAAATGACAAATGACAAATAAAATGAGAGCCATCGGCTTGTACCCACTATTTATAATACCTCTTTAGGTATTCGACGTCCCATAGGTGGGCCAAGGCTTTTCTGTTTTTAGTGTGCTATCATCCCTAGGGTCGAACATTTCCACTTAAAGGGTCTCCTAAGGCCTCCTGGCTCTTATAAAAGCCACTTAGCATTCCTTAGCAGAGACCTAATCTCCTCTGATCTCTCCAATCCCACTGGGGGGTTGGGAA